ACAAAATGAGTTGCATTTTAGTACAAAGTGTGCTCATGAGCCTGTTATAATGCATGAAAAGTATTCTTATTGTCATCTTAGACCATCAGTATGTAAAATACTTAAAAAAAAAACTCATCTGATTGAAATCATTTCTCTTCAGGCTAATCAGGATTGCTCAGCCAGTTTTCCTAGCTTGAATTATCTGATGAGATTAAGGAAATTGTAAGTCAAATGAAGGTCAGGCTCCTCTTGATTTCTTCTGCCTGTTCACTAATATTGAGGATAAATAACCCAGATTTTTGAGACTTGGAATAAGCCTTTTTTTGAACTAAAGGTTAATCTGAACTTCCCCTTTCACTCTTGTGGAATGGATACCTTTCTTTTTTTTTGTCTGAGGAAAGAGACAAAAAAGCAAAATGAGGAACATCACCAGGGAATTTCCTCCAGATAATGGAAATGAGGATTGGTCAGATTTGGGGGGTTTGCAGCCTGGAAGAGACTTTCTGGGTTAGAGGAAGGAGGAGAGGGGATCATAATAGCTATTCTCAAATATTTTAAGTGTTCATATGAGCAGTGTTCATATGACATTTGATTAGTTTTGCTTAGCCCCTGAGGCAGAACTAGGATCAATGGTTAGGAGTTAGGTGGAGGCAGATTTCAGAAGCAAACTTCCATGTAAAGCAGGAGGTTCTTAACCAAGGGTTTATGGATGGATTTTAGGGGATCCTGAACTTGAGTGAGGGAAAATGTTACTTTATTTTCACTAACCTCTATCAGAAATTTGGCATTTCCCTTCTGAATTTTTAAAAATATTATTCTGAGAAGGGATCCATAGACTTTACCAGACTGGCAAAGGATCCCTTGACCCAAGAAAAGAGCCAAGAAACCCTGAAGAAAGACTTTCTAACAGTTACATCTATCCAAAAAGTGAACATCCCATCCCTGGGGAGGCTGGTTGTCCACCAATTTATTGGATATGTTGTAGAAGGGAAGTTTGGTCAGGTACAAATTGAAATAGATGACCTCTGAGGCACCTTAAAATTCTAAGATGCTGTTGAAATTATATGACAGCAACAAATCCCTTCTCCAATATTGTCAATGAGAACTTGACCTGTTGATAGTAAGTCATTAAGAAATATCATCAAAGAATAGCTTGTATTTTCAGCAAGCTCAGGTATGAAAAGTAAAATACATAAGGAAAAAACAACCACGCCCTTGAAGTCCCCAGACTCTCCCCAGAAGGGAGAGAAGGAAGTCCGCAAAATGAACATAGATTTAATTAGTTGCTTCTGTGCAAAGCTTTATACTAAGTACTGCACATCTTTGGAAGTTTTAAAGTGACCAGAACAGGTGGGGTTTTTTAGGCATGGCACATGTAGCAAAATTTTTTATTTTGAGCAGAGTTTGGGAGATGTAGTATGTTTAGAGGCAGAAGAGAAGGGTCCCGAGTGGAGGAAAGGGGGGTGATCAGGTTATAGACTTAGAACTGGGAAAATGATTAAGCTTTATGCTAAAAGTAATAACCATGTTTTTGTTGAGTTAGGAATAATGGAACAAGGGCAACAAAATTGGTGTGATAGAGGCCTCATGAAGGGATGGTAGGTAGGGAGAAAGGAAATTTGAAGCATGACGCTAAGAATTTGATTAGTTTCTGATACTTCTTAACTCTTAAAGTATTATAATCCCAAGGAACTGATAGTTCCCTTGTCTTCTTTGTGTTCTCAGTGTAACAATGGTTAGATAACCAACAAGTGAGACCAGAGAATACATCCTGTGCTGATGACATTGGAGCTCCCGTGCTCCTGTGCTCAGCAAGGCAGGTGGAATGGTGGTTGAGATCCACACTGAGAGACTCCTTTTATTTCCATTTACCCACAGAGGAAAGTGGGAGAGGCAACTGTGAAAGTAAAGTCAAGAAGTGAGTGAGAGAAGAAGTGAGTCATTTCTTGCTAGGAATAGCTGTGCTTTGTTTTTTTTAGAGCGGAGTTTTCCACTTTGCATAGGCCAATGCCTTCTTTCTCTCTCTCATTCCTGTCATGGCAGACCAGCCCAAGTGACATGGCCAGATTGTCTGTATACCTGACACTTCTTAGCCTTTCAGGGCTTGTTAAAGGAATATGAGGTACATTAGGGTCGAAGACAATTGGATATGAATTTATTCAGTTCTGCTCCTTGGGCATAATTCCTTTGCTTGAGGGCACATCAGTGTTAATTCTCTTTTTACCTTGGTTGGGTTCTGGGAGAGTGATTGGGTTCTGGGAGAGTGATTGGGTTCTTCAAAATGCTAAATTCATTATGATGGACTTTTAAGCAAAACCTCTGTTGTTTGTTTGAACCAGATCTGTGGTTCAAACCCTTCCAGGGAGGACCTCCCTCTCTAATGAAAATCAGCAGGTAGAGTTGCCTGAGGGGGAACTAAAGTGTTCAGTGACTTATCAGGGTCACTCACTTTTATTTTTATATTAACTAGATTTCCCCTGTCCCACCCCTTTCTAAGAGAGCCGTCATTTATAACAACAAAAGAAAACTTAAAGAGAGATTTTTTTTTTTAGCAAAATCAGTGAGCACATAAAAAAAAAATCTGATATTATATGGACCATATCCATGGACCCTGACTTCTGCAAAGCAGAGATTTGGGGTGGGGGTATGTCTCTTCTCTGGGGCTAAAAGCACTAATTTATTAGTAGGTCTTCCCGTCTCCATTCTTCCTCTTTTAGGGTATCCTTCATATCATTGCTAAACATAAACATCCCATATGCACATGTGTCACTCCTTTGCTTAGAAAATCTTCAGTGGTTCTCTTTTGCCTACAGAGTGAGTAATACTCATACTCATTTTTCCCGGCATTATAATAATGACTGACATATAGGGGTTTAAAGTTTGCAAAATGCTTGACATAATTCAATGCATCTGAGTCCCAGAGTGATTGCAGTAGGCTCTACAAGTATCATTTTCCCCATTTTATGGATATAGACACTGAGATTCAGAGTTTGAATGTCTTGCCCATTGTCATTTAGCTGTTGTCAGAAGTGGGTGGGATTGAGACCCTGGTTCATTGGTCCTCCTGACTTAATATCTAATACTTCATTTGCTTTTTATTGTGAACTTAACAATCATCCACAAATATTTCATTTTATAAATACAAGAAGTAGATTGTATATTGAAAAAAAAATGAAACCTGTGAGCTTTGGTTTAACTTATAAAAAGTTAACCCTCTCTTCTGTTTTGCTTCTGCATTCAAGAATAGCAGCCACAAGGATCAAATGAGATAATTTATGTAAAAAGCATTTATTAAGCACTTACTGTGTACCATGCATGATGCGAAGTCCTGAGATATGAATAGAAAAAGTGAGATGGTCCCTGCTCTCAAGGAACTCACACTTTAATTAGAGGAGATAGCACCTCAAAGAAAGGAACCAAAGTATGGTAGAAAGGTCAGGAAGTCCTAAAGAAGCTGTAGTAGGACTGATGGCAAGTCCCAGGGGTACTTAGGCTGCATCTGTATGTCAGATGACACATGGTAAGGCCTAGAGGGCAGTGGCAGGGCAGATGGTAAAAGGCCCATCTATGGGTATTCCATCTCACTGAAAAGAATACGCATGATGACTCTAATCTCATTGAAGCTGTGTGAGTAACCAAGCAGTCTGCATAGGTTTTGGGAGGGAGTAACAAGGAGGGAAGGGCATCCCGATTGGTGATATGCCTGAGGCTAGTGAGGAGAGGGCCAGATTTGGAATCTAAGACCTGCAGATCTGCATCCAAGCTATTGGGTAAGTGACTGTGGACAAGACACGTACTTAATCTCTTAATTACAGATCTGTCTCACATTGAAACCTGTTTCTTCTGTCACACAGACACACACACACACACACGCACACACACACCCCCTACATACATACTCCTTGTTGGACTTCATTTTTATTTCCTGATTATTACAGTTTTGGGAGGGTAGAGATCATTTTTTGGTTGACTAATATATAGGATGAAGCAAAATTAAATTGGGGCTTTGATTTTTGTGAGGAACTTGAAGGAGAGAGACTGACTGTAATGAATACTTCTCAGAATGATAAAGATGGGGGAAGTATTGAGCTTTTCATGCTCAATCCTAGTCCTGGAATCAGGAAGATTCATCTTCTTGAGTTCAAATCTGGCTTCAGATGCTGACTAGCTATGTGATCCTAGGCAAGTCACTTAACCCTGTTTGCCTCAGTTTCCTCATCTGTAAAATGAGCTGGAGAAGGAAATGGCACACCACTCCAGTGTCTTTGCCAAGGAAACCTCAAATGGAATCACAAAGAGTCTGACACTACTGAAATGACTGAACTACAAAGTAGTGAAATAAACCGACTTTCCCACCCTCCTCCTATTTCCAAAATGGGTGCAAGAGTCTCTACTGGGTGAATCCTAATTACAAAACCCTTAATAAAAGGAACTAATAGTAATTTTCAGTGGCCCTGGAGTATTTCTTCCTGTTTTAATAACTTAAGGCATTTCTCCCCATGATTCATTTTGTCTTGTTTTGGGGAACTTGACTGTTTGGTTGAGAAAATGGAGTCAGTCATTTTTATGAGAGGGTTCAACTCATCATCAAATTATTATTCCTCTCAGATTCTACTTTCTGAAAAATGTATCATTAAGTGACTCACCCAGTGGAAGTGTAGCATGGAATGAAGAAAAGGCTTAACTGTGATATCTGAATGCTTTTAGACAGCTGTTTATTACTTTGACCCTTTTAAAAATGCATGATCCAGGGGCAGCTAGGTGGCACAGTGGGTAGAGCACCGGCCCTGAAGTTGGGAGGACCTGAGTTCAAATCTGGCCTCAGACCAAACACTTGACACATACTAGCTGTGTGACCTTGGGCAAGTCACTTAACCCCAATTGCCTCACCAAAAAAAAAAATGCACAATCCAGAGAATCTCAAGAACAAGAGAATAAGCTATCACAGGTAACCCTATGTGTATGTGTTGTGTCGCCTTCTTGTCTCTCAAAACACCCATTTAATGTGTTTCTCCAAGGTGCCAGCTGATGTTGAGAAGTGTCAAGATCGAGTAGAATGTTTTAACGCTGACCTCAAGGCCGACATGGAGAGATGGCAGAACAACAAAAGGCAGGACTTTCGGCAGCTACTCATGGGAATGGCTGACAAAAATATCCAATATTACGAGAAGGTAATTATCAGACTGATTAACACTTAGGATCAGGATTGTTGATTTAGAGCTAGAAAGGGATTTTAGAGAGCTCATGGAGTCTGCCTCTTATTTTAGAAATGAGGTAACTGAGGCAGAATATGGGCAGCTAGCTGGCATAATGGATGGAGTACCAGGTCTGGAGTCAGGAAGACCCAAGTTTAAATCTTGCCTCAGACACCTGTAGCTGTGTAACCCTGTGTGGCTCTGTCTCTTCATCTGTAAAATGAGCTGGAAACTTAGTAGCTTTGTGACCCTGGGCCAGTTGGCCTTAGCTTCCTCATCTATAAAATGGGGGTGATAATAGCACCTGCTTCCTAGGGTTGTTGTGAGAATCAAATGATAGGGTGTACACACACATACACACACACACACACACACCCATACATGTGGAGGGGGGGGTAGTATAAACCTTAAAGCATTAGGCTTCCCTGGCTTCTTTCAAGTCTCATCTGAGATCCCACCTTCTACAAAAAGGTTTTTGCCAGTCCCCATCAATGCTAGTGCCTTCCCTTTGAGGCTACCTCCACTTTAGCCTTTATATATCTTGTTTATACATAGTTGTTTACACATAGTCTCTGCCATTATAATGTACACTCCTTGAAGGACTTTTTTTTTCTACT